CGATCCCAATACGAAGTTCGCGAACATCAGGGATATCCATCGGGCTCAAATCGAAGCGGGTGAAAAGGAGGTTATCACGGCTGAATCCAGCGACTCTGAATGCCCTAGTGAGGCTGGCAGCTGTATTGTAGTGGGTGTGGTTGAGGATCAATAGTTAATAGTAATGAGGAGGTTGGGTTGTGATCCCATCGTTTTTGTGGTGCCAGAAACAGGGGGGTGCCAGGAAGTGGGTATGTTGACTTATCTCAATGTCGTAACTACTTAAGCAACTTCGTTTGCTGCCGTGCCAACTATCCGGAACGGAAACGAAAGCGAGAGATTACTGGTCACAACGGATACCGTCTCTGACTAGTATTCTTTTGATCTTGCAGCAACGGCACTTAATCGCTTAGGCACGGCCAGATCTTTTGCCGCCTTAAGGTGGTATAAGGAGCGCGAATAAAGTAAGTTAGCGCAATTCTCTAATTGGGCTAAGTTGTTAAATAATGTTCATAATAGAGAGGATATTATTATTATCGGCCTTACTACCTGTACAAGTCATCTTTTTCTTAAGGTCTTTATCATTAGTACGTATCTTTTTTTTATCATACTTTACAATCATATTTGCGCTGTGGTATTTATATTCTTAGTCGTCGCCGTGTTGAACCTCTTTAGTCTCAAGAGAACTATCCTAATGGGTTATGACTTAATAGCAATCTCTGAAAGCAGCATGACAGTTGAGTTGGTCTACAGGCTTCATCATAGGTGGAATTTCTTTGTTGCATCGGACACATCCAACAGAAACATGATATGTACTTAGCAAACATTGAAGAGGCTTGTCGGGATAAGGGTAGTTATAGGTTATTTACTTTTGAGACTTTCTATAGTTGACCTATGAGGCATGCAAAATGTTTCAGATAGTGCTTCTTTCGCCATTATGAAGCTGGCGAAGAACTCGCTTCACCATATTGAACAGAGTTAAGGTTGCAATCTCCTGTTGTAAAATCAACCGGCACCCAATTTGGCTTTCTTTCAGTTGATGCCTGTGAGAAAGCTTTCATGACGTAGCGATTCTAGCTTATAAGGACATACTCAAATCCATCATCAAAATTGATCCTAAGCCATGTGCAAGTGTTCCTTGTCCAGCCGTAATTCTGATGAACTCGATCCAGGCCGAGTGCACATTACTACGGTACTCTATCGCGTCTCTCCGTGATCCAAGTATTTTGACTTGATCTCTTCTCTCCAGACCTCTAAAGTTATCCTTCTCCCTCCTACCATAACAGAGCCCAGTGGCAAGTCCAGCCCCTGCCTCATGTCTTGCTTGGGAACCTCTAGGAACTTGTGATCCTTGTCACAAAAGTCGTTTCCCAAGGTGCCTGCTTTCAGCTTTTTATAGCAACTTTTGTCAAACTGAACCCTCCCACAATCGTCTGCGCATGTGTAGATAACACTAGGGTATTTCCACTTGTAATTACAACCATGGCAATGGACACCGAACCCGACAGTAGGCTCAGTTGGCTTCGACGATTCGTCTTCTGAGACCTCAATCTCGGTCAATGACTCATCTTCTGTAGAGCATGGCACGAGTAAGTTGCCGCCTTCTGATTTCTCGCCAACCTTCGAAAGTCTCGCGGCCTCCCAGCGAGCAACTTTCTTTCGCCATCGCCCAAGTTTTCTGAAGTATTCGTCATAGCTGTCCTTCTTGGAGATTGCCATCATGTTCCAAGCCGCCAATGCGTTTGCATCATCTTCAAACGTGGTGAAGATCATCTGCAGCTGCCAATAACAAGCATGATCATCCGTGGGATCGTTGTTGAACATCATCTTCAGAGTCTGTTTCAATAGATCCCCGACCAATGCCTTCGCAAGTTCATCCTTTCCGGTACGAATGTAGTACCTCGAAAAGTGTAGTCCATTCCTCAAGTCGTGGGGTTTGTATAAGTCCAGGCTTTGAAATCGTTCGTGTAGTCGACTGATTTTCGCGGAGAATGTGAGCTCGGGAACGGAAGCCGACATCGATGCTTGGGTTTTGGCCTCGGCCAGGGCTTTTTCCATGTAAATTGGCATCAGTTTTGGCACCAACTGCTCCAGAGCGTATGGTCCGGAAATATCACGACGTTCCGGCTCCTCTTGTTCCAATGCAGTCTCCCACACTCTCAGCCCTTCATCTTGTAGGGCGAGCGATTTCCTCAGAGCTTTCCCGTATCTAAAACGCACCAAGAACTTTGACCAGTGGTCTTGAGCGGCTGCTTTTATTCCTTCCTCATAGACCTTTTTTGCCAAGTCCCAGCGGCCCAGTGCTTCAGCTGTTCGTGTGATGCTGTCGTCGAGCGACCGAGAATCGTCCTCTGCCAACATAAGATTGCCGATAGGTGCTCCAGAGGCTTTTGAGGGGCCTTCGAGGAGCATCTCTAGCAATGATGCGATATCTTTCCAAAGCGTTCTGTCAGTGAAACGTGATATCACGCCCAAGTATCGTTGAGTATAGCTAGTATCCATCTTGATACTCTCGGTGTACGCTGCAATGGCACGGTCTTGCATCTCCGAGGAAGTTGAGAACCAGAACTTATCGCCCAACTCGAGGTACATTTCGGCCAGTACCCTTCTTTTCGCCAAATCATCAGTCCAAGCCTTTTTGGCGGAAAGATTCTTAGTGATCTTTTCAAGAATTTCGGTCGCTTCGTCTCTTGACTCGGTGACTTGCGCAAGAGTGTACAACGCCTTCCAATTCTTGTCGTCAGTGTCGCAGGCCTCGCGCGCACTCTTCTCGACAGCTTTTCTGGAGACATTCTTGTTTTCGTTGAGATAGAGGCGAAGGAGAATCAACGCCAGATGAGCTTTCCATACTTTCTTTGTTGATGTGGACTTTTTAGTTGCGAAATTTTGTGATGACCAAGCCGCCACCCTTGCCACGCGCTCAATCTTAGGATTCCAAAAGTCATGTTCAGGATCCATCGAAGTCTTGGAAGTCAACTGTGTGGCATTGTTAGGTTATAAACTTCGCAGAATCGTGTTTGGCATGATCCTGGGAGACTTGCCTTGTACTTAGCAGCAAGGAGAAATACGAAGGCATTCTCAATCTCTCGTGGCATCGCATCCGCCGTAAGAAGTAGGTTTGCCGACATTTTGATTGCCACCTTCAACAACGTCGAAACTGCATTGCCACATGCTACACTCTGTGCCACGACTAACTCACCACCCGTGATGCATTGGAGAACGGCTCCGTCTCTGAAATATATTTTCATGAGTTCAAGTCCCTTGTCAACTTGAAGCCAAGGTCTCCAACTTGAGGGGAGACCTCTCTGTGCTAGGACGCTCTGGCTTTCATCACGAAAAGGTTGACGGATGCCAAATAACGAGTTCATGGCATCACTTTTGGTCAACAGCTTGACGAGCAGTACCCCGACCTGAGTCCTGAGATCTCTATTCGTCAAGGAGAGATGCCCTTGTTTCTCGGGACCCTTCAAGGAGTCGCCACCATGTTCCGCTCGGTACAGGTGCGAGTACAGGTGATCTGCTGCGTAGGAGTGAAGCAGCACTGTCACTTCCGTTGGCACATCGACGAGGCATTGGAGACTGCGCAATGCGAGAGTTATCTCTGCGTTTCCTGAATTGAGGGAAATGCGAGTCTGGGGGAGTTTCTTGGATAAAAAGTCTTCAAATCCAAACTTGTCGTACACGTCGCTAGGACAGACTGTTCTCAGGTAGTGCTTGATCATTCTGACCTCTGCTTGGTGGAAATTCTGGACATTCCCATCATCGCTTCTCTCATTAGCTTCGAGAATGCGCTTTTTCGCGTCTTCGATGTTTGTGGCACCCACGAAGGTCACCACAATCTCTTCCTCGGCGCTTGTAAGCTTGAAGATCGGGTACTTCCCAACTCTGATTCTAGACTCGAGGGATCTGAAAAGCGTCCTTCGCTCCCCATCTGGGGCCGGTGTTGTTGAATTGCCGTCTTTCAATGACAAAGCTCCCTCCAGCTGGGGCGGCGTTAAGCGGCTTCGCCCATTCATAACCCAAATCATCATCTCATTCATGTCGGATATCTCATTGGGAGAGCTTGTAAGGTTGATTGTTTGGATGGTTGTGATCATTTGATTCGCAGCAGCGGTTCCTGCTTGCTTAAGACAATTATCGATTTGTAGGCTGTCATCCTTTTCGGAAATTTCCGTCAACACGGTATCAATCTTGCGGTAGTCTCCTGCAGTGACCATCTTGAGTGATTCGATTATTTTTTTTCTCAGTTCAGAAACGTCGACATTCGATAGATCTTGCATCAAGTCCATCTGGTTCAGGCGCTGGTTGATGTATAATTCAATGTCCTTGATGTTGTCTCTGCCTAATTTGATCGACTGTAAACCAAGGTTCTTCTCTCTGTCTATCCGAGAAAACCAGTCAGAAGTACCAGTCAATAGTATCCGAATTCTTTGACTTTCAATCGATGACTTTCTTAGTAATTGCAGCAACTCTCTGAAGAATTTAGCGTGATCGTGGCCGACTAAGCCATCGAGGATGATGAAGAACGTCGTGTTCCAACCGACGAAGTCTGTGTTGTTCACCAGAGTTTTTTTCCACATGTCGAGTGGATCGTGTATGGCGTGGTGCTTTGTGCATATGTCCGAAGCCGATTTGAAAAAAGGCGAGTAGGATTCAGCAAGCTGCCAAATCAGGCTGCGAGTGACGGTAGCCCTGACACCAACCTTAGATACAGCACCAGCTTTTGAGTCGGGTTCCAAGAAGTAGTATGCAATAGGTGCTGACTTTCCGTGCATATCTCTAAGGCGTGCGATGATGTTGGCTACAAGTTGCGTCTTGCCAGTGCCCTCGGCGCCCTCTATTCCGAAAACAGTAGTGTCTGAAGTCTTTCCCTCAGCCCAGTCCTGGAAGACCTTGCATGAATCGAGCCATCTGCCAGTACCTTCGGTAGTCTCTTTAGCGACGTAGCGTTGCCAGCTTGACTCCCAGACACATCTAGGCACCTTTTCGTCTAGGCCAACGATTAGGTCGTCTAGAGGCCACATCAGCACCTCGATCAACGTCTCTCTCCGCCATTTAATTTCCTTCTCTTTGTTCGGCTCTGCCTGGTCTATAGCTTTCTGGGTAATGACGTTTCCAAAATGAATCACTAGGCTCTCTGTCAAATCTCTTGATAAGTTACCAAGTGCCACTTGAAGTTGACCAGCGATTACCAACGTCGCGGCCCCAACAAGACCAAACTCTTGGGTCTGTAAGTCTTCCATCTCTTGCAGGAGAGGTTGCATGCCGTCTTCTTTAAAAAAGAATATCTTCATGGCAGTTTTGGCCTGGAACTTTTTGCTGCGACGCAATTTAAGGGTATAAGTGCAGATCTTGACAAACAGGTGCAGTTGCTTCATCGCAACCTTCCTGAGCTTCCTATCGATCATTGGTGCGTCGCGATAGTTATCAAGTCTCCCGAAGAAGCCAACAAATTTTCCCAGAAGGTGAGCCAGACTTGCCAGCATGCCAGAGTAGCTCTGATAAACAACGATGACAAATGTGAGGGCGTTGTAGCACAGATTTGCTGGTCCACCGATAGCCTAAAGCAAGTTTAGTATAGATTTTGCCGCATCATCTCTTCGAAAAAGAAACCTACGTATGATGCAGTTCCAGCTGCGATTCCTCCAAGGTTCTGAATGCATTCTAGAATCCGATCGAATATCTGCTTCGTCGACTGTCCGCGTCTTTTCTTTCGAGCCTTCTCGGAATTGTCTTGGCTGTTGTCCAACAGCTTCTGGACATCGGCTGGGCCAATATCCTTGTCAGGTGTGAATTTGAAGTCCTCGATACGCTTGATGCCGTGCACAGACTTCTGAACCTTTCTCCAAATCTCTTGGAATTCATCATCTTCGTCACTGATCAAAGGGACACCGACTGATACCACTTCTTTGGAAGACATGGTGGCTAGGTGGTCGTGATCAAGAGATACAACAAACAATCTTTGATAGCTCCAGAGTTGTGATAATGGTGTGCAGAACGAGAATGATGGAAGAATGATTTGATGGGGTTTAAACTGCACAAAAGATTGATTCTTGCTCTAATAGGGCTCTGCACAGCGGCTTGACACAGCTTTCAACTTCCTCTTTTCAATGTCAGTGCAGCTTGGCGACGCATGCATACTCCTCAACATAGACGCTTCCATTGGCTGGGTCTGCATAATATTGGTTGTACAACCTGCCAGCTGATAATGAGATGCAACATGCCCCGCCTCGTGAACAAACGAAACATGTTTCCCGCATTTTTGCATCATTTCAAAGTATGATAGGTAATATTTTTTGTTGCATAATAGGGCCCATCTTGCCGTCAATTGTGGTTAGACGAAGAGTCGTAGGAAGCTCGTTGACCCCGCATATACGCTCGCAAAGACGTCGTTCGATTTCGACACCTTTGAAATGAACTCGCACTGTCCATAAGATATTTCGATTCAGTTCACTTCCACTCCCCTACTTTCCAGAGCTCTGGTTGTCATGACTCTAGATTAAATCCAGTCAAGTCAGCTTACTCCTTCGCCGCTCGAGGCAACAGGAGACTGGAGAATAAACCGCTGATTAGATCACTTCTTACTGTGAGTGCATCTGCGATTCCTCTGCTTCTGCTTCACTACAGCACGAATACGTGGTATATCTGGTTGGCCAAAGTTTCGGTATCGAGTACAACAGCCGGAGCTTGGACTAGATTCGGAGTCAGTTGCAACATGACTGCAGTTCCTGGGGTCTATTCCCCCAACTGCCAATCATAGGCACATATCAGAGAGGCTGCAACAAACATTTGATTCGACTAGTAGTACATTGGAACGTGCGCTGTTTGCTTGAGCTGCTTCTTGGCTCATAGCAGGTCGGCCCGAAGCGTGCGCCAAAGGTTGGTAATGTGATATACAAGTGAGAAACAAGAAGTCTAAGACTCTCTTCTGCTGTACAGTGAATGAGAGCGAAAGCTACAGACGGTCATTTGGTGACTGCGAAGCAGATTGTTGGTGTGGCGTTGTGGATCTTGGGCGTACTGAAATATTCCCAGTAAAGAGCTCCAATTGAGACCAGCCCGTCAGCTCTGCAACCAGGACCACTAATAGCAGGCTTAACAGCCTGACTTTCTATAGACGTCATTCCCTCCTGATATAGTCTGGAGGTGTCTGACGCGACATGGCGTTCTTGATACACAAAAGCAAAAGTAAGTAGTGCCCCCCTCACACCGCAGTAGGGAACCCGCAACAAGGATCACCGCCGTCTCCCTCGCCCTCCCCCCCACCCTCCTACTACACCCTCGCGCGACCCGAGCACGAGGTGAATTCATTGGCGCCTTTCTTCTCTCTCCAGCATGATCCAAGGAGACCATTTTCCGACTCATGTCCAGGGATAGGATCCCGCTTAACATTCTGCGCATGAGTCTCTCTAACTCATCGCGTCTTCGGACATAACCTTTGGAAAGCTCGCAACTATACAGAAAAAGGAAAACGTGTTCGCGATATTCAAGTTCCCGCTGCGCGCCATTCGGCCGCCCCTCTATCCCACATTACCCAATTAGGCAATTGAACCATCCCGCCACAGCAGCGACCGTTGTAACAGTCACGCGAAACTTAGGACACGCCACCGATATGGTACGAACACTGTCCTCATTGTAGCAAGGCACAAGGAAACGGTAGCTTAAGTTCAAGGGAGATGGCGACTTTTATTCAACGCACACTGTGAGAACCATCGCCAGCTCAAGACCCCACCTTGAATCCCACCGGTGTGACTCTCCATGCTCGTATGTATGTACGGACTACGGAGACTTGAAGTGCGATGAGAGCAGAGTTTTCCTTGTTACAGGGAGACATACATGGCAGTGCCAATTTCCGATGATATATACGACGAACTCATTGGACCATGGCGGTCAAAACCTCTGACAGCAGACATCGAGTACGCGGCGGATTCCCAAGGTACTCCACTCGATGACATACAGCCCGGCCTTTTACACGGAGATCTTGGCCCCTGATAAAGACAGTAGTAGGTCCAGGGACGGGCCGACCTCTGCACCTCAAGTAACAATCGGGATGTCGCGGTGTGATAGGACTCCGATCTATGTTGTATAAAATAACCCTTGAGCAATCATTTTCCCGAGCTCGCTTACCAACTACCGACCAATTTGGAGGGCAACTTGACTTCAATACCAAACCCACTACGTTGAACATCAACATGTCGCTATCCTGGAGCAGCTGGCTCGCCACACTAGAGCCGCAACAGTCAGCTCTCGGCCTGCTCTTTGTCGTCCTCTGCTTGACACTCGCTTATGTCTCCATACCAGGACGCCACGATCACCTCCCTTACATCAACCGGCCACCAAAGTGGGATTTCCTTGGCCAGAAGACCAAACAACACTTCGTCAGCAATGCCCGAAGCCTGATGGCCAATGCTCGGGAGGCCTTCAAAGGCAAGCCCTACCGAATGTTCACCGACTTGGGGGATCTCATTGTTATTCCGGCGCACCACGCCGATGAGATGCGCAATGAGCGATCTCTGGACTTCCTCGAAGCCTTTGTCGATAATTTTCACCCCAACATTCCCGGATTCGAGGGATTTACTTTCGATGGCCGAAAGGACCAGTTGCTTCACAAGACGATCAACAAGAAGATTACCAAGATGCTCAGTATGTCTCGTACACCTTGTCGGAGGTGCATTCGCTTACCAATTCCTTGTCAAGATGAGATCACTGCACCACTGTCGCTGGAAGCTGACTTTGCTACGCGCCTGATTCTTGGAACTTCGACAGGTAAGCCACTTTATGGTACGGAAAAAGGCTTAGCTAAAGGAAGTAGTTTGGCGTGAGATTCCGCTTCAAGAAGCGCTTCTCAACCTTGTCGCTCGTCTATCTTCCCGTGTGTTTCTTGGCGATGAACTCTGTCGAAACGATGCGTGGATCAAAATCACTGGCTCTTATAGCATCAACACTTTCTCAAGCGCAGAAGTCCTTCGACAGTACCCTTATTATCTTCGCCACATCGCCTGCTATTTTATTCCGCAATGCCGACTACTCAGAGAACAAGTTGCAGAGGCACGACGCGTTCTTAACCCGGTACTGGAAAAGCGAGAATGGGAGAAGAAGACAGCCTTGGCTGAGGGGAGGACTGAGCCTTCGTACAAAGACGCGATTCAATGGGTCATGGAAGAAGCTCAGGGCAGTACTTTTGACCCAGTAGGAGCCCAACTTGGTCTCTCTGTTGTGGCTATTCATACCACTACTGACCTCGCAACGGAAACGATGCTTCGACTAATGGTCAGACCACAGTTGATGGAGGATGTTCGTGCTGAGATTGTGGCGGTCCTCCGGAAGGAGGGCTGGACCAAGTCTGCTTTGTTCAACATGAAGCTGCTTGACAGTGTCATCAAGGAGGCGCAGAGACTTAAGCCGACAACGTCTGGTAAGTGACTTTGAACTCCTTTCAGGTGTCTGAGCAACATCAACTGATTGTTCCCTAGCGACGATGAATCGGAAAGCCACTAGTCAAGTCAAGCTTCCTGGTGGATTGGTCCTTGAGAAGGGAGACCGCTGCATGGCAGACCTCGGCTCGATGGTGGACCCCAACGTATATCCAGATCCTCTCGAGTTTGACGGGTATCGATTCTTCCGGATGCGTGGAGACCCCAAGATGGATAGCAAGGCTCATCTGGTGAGCACATCAGTGTCCCATATGGGATTCGGCCATGGCCTACACGCGTGTCCTGGGAGATTTTTTGCCTCTAACGAGGTCAAGGTTCTCTTGTGTCACTTGCTGCACAAATACGACTGGAAGCTTGACAGTGGATTCGAGCATACGATTCATGAATTCGGCCTTTCCTTATCGTCGGGTAGCACAAAGGCTTTTGTCGCGAGGCGACAGAACGTGGAGATTGACATTGACGCGTGGTAAAGTGAGGAGGTTTTGCTCGGGATCCGGGGAAAAGGTCGATCATGAACAGAGAGAGTGTGGGCAGGCACTTGATAAAGTACTAAGTAGTAAAGGATACGGCGCAACTACGTGTATGGCATCATTTTCTGTAAATTCATGAGGAAGTCACCACAGCGACTCCGTTGTTGCACTATTCCTGGATCTTGTCCCTGCCGCCGGGGTCGATGTACGTGATAAGGGAGCCATCGTCGCTGCGTCATCCCATGTGGTAACAGGGATTGACCCTGCCGGCCGTCTAGGCAAGGGAATCGAGTCAAGAGCTATCCCAACGTCCTCCTTCTGGCTTTTGCCCATATCACCCCACCGATTCAATATCTCACCTATCCCACGCAGGAGATAAGGCCGCTTAGACCGCTTGCTTGCGTCACTGTCCGGTCAATGAATCTGTATCGGGGGCTTCCATCGGAAGTCCTCCGGGACTTCCTAAGGGCCTCCCGGAACCGGCTTCGCATGAAGCCATTGTCAGTTTGGATAATGACGGCCCGGCGGGAGGCTTGGCTCCAGTGTTTAAATATCGTCTCATAGCCGTCTCTATTCTATCGTGAACGACAAGCCTGCTCTCAGCTTCTCATTCACAGCCAAGTCCTGTCTGTCCAAATCAGACGTCCACTCCTTAACGCCATGCTGCAACGACTTGCCATCCTCGCCTCGGCAGTGGGCATCTGCCATGTAACAACCCAGATCGTCACCGGTGCCACTCTTTTCGTCGGAGACTCGACGTGGCTCGCTCGAGGCCATCCCGTATCTGGGAAGTTTTCATGCGAGTGATGTCGTGTTGAACTTCTTTGGTACGCTGCCGGCGAACAATTCGCGCCATATGATGGGTACCCTGATTGCGTTCGTCAACAACCTGGATCCCAACAAGCACAACATGAGCGATGTGCCTGCTTGGCCGTAATATGAGTCAACCAGTCGGTCAACAATCCTGTGGAGCGAGGCCGGCGCAGAGATTGTGGCTGATTACTAACGCGATGAGGCGATCACGTACCTGAATGAAATTGGGGAATCCTTGCGGATCTAAGTCTGCAGCCGGGAAATGATGCGATATATTATTTTGAATCGTGTCACATTTATGCCTGTATACAGCTTATAATTCATGAAGGACTTCAATGAGAGCCGACTTCAGCGCAGTATGCTCTCGAACCAGAGCAAGCAATTTTCGCAGCCTGTGATCCGCTAGAATTTGTTGTCCATTTGCAGAACGTTTCGTTCTTAGTTGGGTTCACCCTCAAAACAGGATCTTCATCACTGATCACAAAAGGAACGCATCATGTTTTCAACTTATTCTTTGTTAACTATTAGCATGCTTGTACTTCTATGTACATTCATCTACGTATTACTACAGAGTGAGCCAGTCTTTTGACTGCAAGCTTCGTCCGCACCCTTAGGCGCCTCCTCGGTCTGCACCCCTCTCAAGAACTCTCCGATTCTCGTAGCCACAGCTTGTGCGCTCTCGGTCCAGCCAATAATGGCGCCCATCAGCAGCGTATCGTGAACAGCATTCTCCTCATACGATACTGTGACGCTGCTCTCGGCCTCCTGCATCTGCCGGCACCACGCAGTACCGTCCGTCTCAAGGATCTCAGCTTCACCCATCGACACGAACATAGGCACCTTGGTTCCCCAGGCGTTGCCAAGAGGCGTCACATACGGCATGTCCTCATCAGAAACGCCGGCCGAGTACACTTTTGCGCCCCAGCGCAAGAACGAGACGGGAAGGTAGTCGGTGCTCCAGTGCTCATGCTGCTTGTACACCGAATCCGGACCCAAGCTGGCCAAGGGGTTGACCCAGGGGGCGATGAGCACCGCGCAGCTAGGGATGGCAATTCCGAGGTCCGGTCCGTAGGTATCGAGGTATCGCAGCAGGGCGATCACAAGGTTGCCGCCCGCACTGTCGCCGCAAAGCACGATACGGTTGGGCGGGATATTGAGGGTCCGAGTCAGGTGGAGGTAACTGGTCAGGACGTCTTGCAACGCAGCGGGAAACGGGTTCGCGGCGGCCTCGGAACCGCTGCCGTAGCCTGACAACCGGTATTGAGGCGCAAAGACAGCACCGGCGCCGGCCTTTTCGATGAGCGTGTTTGCCATGAAGCCGCAATATCCCGTGCGGCCGTCACCCAGCACAAAGGCACCGCCGTGAATTTGCAGAACCACGTTGCCTTCGAAGCCCTTCTCGACGTCCGGCTTGGCCGGGAACCAAGTGCCCCCCACGGTGGTGGGCTTCACATCAGAGTTCGAGGCCAGAGGACCGAGGTAGAGATCTGAAGGGAAGGGGTCGGCGGTCTGGAAGCGGTCGCCCTCCTTTCCTGGCTTGAGGGTATGAGTCTCGGTGATGCCTACGTTCGAGTAGAGATTAACGATGCTTCGCGTCAAGCGCGCCATGAGGGCCTGTTTGAAGCCCCATTTCGGGTGAGGACGGCAGGAGGGAATCAGCGCCTTGATGGCCCATATCGGCAAGCAGGGGAAGAGAATGAAGAGGGCGCCGAAGATCTGATAGAAGATGCGTAGAGGTTGATAGGAGAGAATAGGGAAACTTCCCCCCTGAGTGCCGGCCATCGTGAGTGATCGCTGTGTAACTGCGACGTAAAGAGGTGAGTATCTTGGTAGAAAGTTACAGAGTTACAGAGATTTCGAGTGAGTATATGAAAGCCGCGGTACAACTATGTCGATCGATCACCAGGGTCACAAAGGGGAAGCAGTCAGCAGAAGCCCATCAGACGGGTGCGATATACTGACGAGAGGATAACTGCGCTTAATACTTGCTGTAACAGATCGTCAATGATACAGTTCAGGCATAGTTCGTCTTCCCTTTTCCCATTCGAGAAAGCAATTTGCTGGGGGCAGCAAAAACCCATGAAAACTCTGCATGTTTTTCTGTTTCCGCGAACCACGATTTCTTCAGAGTTCGGGACTAGAGTCCGGCATCCAGGGGTGAGGCTCGACATTTCTAAGGAGTGTTCCGTCCGACCTGGACCTGGTTGACAGGTCGAATTTCTTCAACGCGGCTCCGCTCAGATCCAATTCTCGATGCAAAATCAATCTCAATCATACTGCGCCAGACATGAAGCCCGCGATTTGATACCTCTTGATAGGGTAATATTTGGTGATGGTGGACTCTTGAGGGGCCTTGGCGAGTCATGTCCTTCGTTCGAGTGTGGTGTTGGAGTGGACAGTTGAATGGAGTCTAGTAGCACGGAGAGTGGGCGTCACCTGACTCGCAATTCCGAGTGACAAACGAATCTCTGCACCGGCAAGCAGGTCTCTTCGAGGCCAGCAGCTAGGGTAGTATGCACGGCATTGGCCCGTATGCGACTTTGCAAACCTACAACGGGCAATTCTCTCGCAGTCTTGTCCCTCGAGCGTGCGACGGCACCACTCTGAGGGCACAGGCATTACGACATATTTCCAGATTTTGACCATTCTAGACTGATGCTAGACTGATGTCTATCAACGGGGCGCGCCCGACATCCCAAGGATCGAGACCGGACTTTGGTTCTGCCCCCCATGGGTCACTAAAGGAGCTTTCATCGTGCATAAACAATACCGTCCACCGATTCCCGCGATATTCTTCACCTTCCTGCTCTGGTCATTACATTGACAATTGTTGGTTGGGTTTATTGGCGAATCTGCTCTGTTTGACCGAATACACGACTCAGGTCAGACCAGGGACGCTTCATGTTTAAATAGGAAAATGGCTTCGACGACGACATCGACGAGCAGCAACGATCCGCATACAGACACGGCAATCATCGCCATCAATGTTGTGCTTGCGGTGATAGCCACCATCACCTGTATCGGACGATTCTGGGCACGAAAGCTCACGGGTTTGGGATGGGGTCTCGACGACTGGCTGGCGTTGGTCAGTCTGATCATTAACCATGCCTTTTGTGCCACGACTATCGAGGCAACGGTCCACGGCGGCTTGGGACGAAGCATCGTTGATGTGATGGCTGAAGACCCAAATCAGCTGATCACGTTCTTGAAGGTTTGATGCAGTTCTCACTCCCTATAGCACTCCGTCAGCCGTGGAAAACTAACCCTTACTGCAGTGCGTTGTCGTCGCCGAGTTCTGCTACGGCTTTTCCTCGCCATTGATCAAGTTGTCTCTGCTAGCCTTCTACTGGCGCGTCTTCCCCACGCCGTTCATGCAAAAGGGCATCTACGCGCTCTCCGCAGCATGCTTGGGTTGGCTCATCGCCATCTTGATCACCAACTGCTTGCAATGCCGCCCACTTGCATACACGTGGGAACAAACGACGAACCCAGGCGCGGGTACCTGCATCGATCTGATTCTCTACTTCGTTGGCAACTCGATCGCCAACAGTCTAATCGACATCCTCACGCTTGTGCTTCCGATCCGCGAGACCATGAAGCTACAGGTTAGCTCGAGCAAGAGAGTCGGCATCTGCTGCCTTTTCGCGCTAGGGAGTCTGTGAGTAGACCTCGAAAAAAATCTGAACACGCGTCTGTGGGCACAACCTAACAAAGTGAGACAGTGTGGTGGTTGCTAGTCTGGTGCGGTTCGGCTCGTTAGCCTCCCTCTACTCAATAGGCGTAACAGACATGACACGTACGTAAACACCCGCATCTTCTTCAACCACAAAACATTTGGCGCTAATTCGCTCAACTATTAGAGCAATACGCTCTTATGTGGACCGCCACCGTCGTGGAGATCTACATCGCCATCATCGGCGCTTGCGCCGTCACTCTCGTTCCGGTCTACCGCAGAATCCGTTACGGCACGCCGTGGTCGACCCGGGACCATAAATCCAACCAAGTCTCGGGCGGGCCTGCAACTTTCGGAGGTACTGGCGGCAACTCGCGCCCTGGCGTCTCTCACAACTTCAAGCGCTCCGCGAACCATGAGCGTCTGACTACCGGTAATGATTCCGAAGAGTATCTGCACCACGGTAGCAACATGAAGTACTCGGTCTCTGGGGCTACCAGAACCAGCGACAAGCGTGACGTTCTCGGTGAGGACTTGCCCATGGACACCATCGTCGTCCAGAGGGATGTCACGTGGGAAGAAGAGCGAAAGGAGAGGCAGCATGTTTAGGTGTTATAAGATACCATGTAATTTGTTGTATTTCCACTGATGGTAGCCTTTTCTTTTTGTCTTTGAACGCTGAACACGATACCGTTGGAGGGAATTGGAACTTGGAAGATACCTTAGTTACTTAGATTGTGCGATAGAACTCGCCTCTGGAATAATCATATTCGACCCGTCTCGAACAACTTCAAGTTTGCTCACATAACAACAAGTCATGTGTCCTCGTACTTTGTCTTGCTCCGCCAGCCCTCATGTGGTGGGACTACTCCGTACACTCTCCACCATCCACAAGCAGGATAACGTTTTGACTGTGTCAGATTGGGCATCTTTTTCGCATTCGAGCATGAACACGTGGAGAAAGTTTCAAACCCATGGCCAGAGTCACGTCCGTGCCCTTGAGAGAGTTTTGTTTGTCATCCACCAACGGAGGCCTGTTGCTCCCGATTTTAATATCGGCGGCATCCCGGTGCCGCGTGGTCCACCCTCGTAGAATGACAGCCAGGGGTCAACTTGATGCCCTGCGATGTTGAGACTCGTACAAGGGGTTTGCAGAGGGCATCGACATTCCGTTGGTTGCCGATGCACAGTTAATGCAAGATGTACTGGATCAGTGATCAGAGACTATACCTAGAGATCGAGATAAGGAGTCAAGGACTCATCTTGGTACTCATCTTGAAGGGGCATGCAATGCTGAACCTTCATCTGTCGGCCCCTGATCCGAACTCGGGAGAGTTTTCGGAGGAATTAACGCCGACGTGGCAGCGATGTAATCCATACACCGCCCGATATCGACCTGAGAGGGGTAGATATTATCCAAACTCAGTGATCGTCGTCCACGTTGGGCAATTCTCCAAGGGTATAGCTCAAAAGGGATAAATTGTAATTTGGCCTACCCAGACAACATATTAACCCAGAAGTCCCCGGTCACCAGACTCAACTTCATTAATGATATGGAATAACGCTGGTCGTCAACAAGAATTTCTTTTTGAGCGTTAGCCATGACTAGCTAAAAGCATGCCCGTAATATGATGGCCCTTGCCCTACGTTAATTGGGGATTGAAAGGATAGTACTCTGTAGGACGGGGCAAGTTCCGTTCATTGAAGTCTTCTTTCGCACTTCTCAGGATGATCGCAATCGAGCAGTGAGGATCCGGAACGATCGGCGTATTCGTAAGAAAATGGAGGAGCAGATTGAGTTCATTGAATATATCTATCATGCCCCTTCAATTCGAGCGTTCGTGAGTATCATCCAGGAACCAGCTTCATTCTTTTGCTCTCTGCGGTGCACTGATTTTGTTCAGTTTCTGGATTCTCGGATATCCAACTGACGGGTTGAGTATACTCAACTCCGACCTATATTCCTTGATCACATCTGTCACTCTATTCATTTATTGTGTCGTCCAAGTGGCTTAGGCTCACGGCCCTACTTGCGGCATCCCACTCTACCCTAGTTGCTGTGAAGCCCATCACATCTCGTGAAACCTTGAAGCCCAAGGTCGAGATCATCTACGCCAATTTAACGGGGCGTATGAACGGAAACATCCAGGGGTTCTTGGGCACGTGGCCATGATTCAACAGAAATGTCAACAATTTCACCGCAAGTGTCAGTGCTAACTCATCCAAGGCATTCCCTTCGCCTCGGGCGCCCTCGCCGATACAGTCTTCAACCTCATCGGCCGAGCCCGCAGCGAGGACTGCCTCCTCATCAACGTCCAGACCCCCGTTGGCACCACTAAGGGCGACAAGTTCCCAGTGGTGATTTGAATTCATGGTGGCGGCTACGAGGTTGGCAGCCCCTTCACCGACACCAGTGAGACGGATGTGATCCGCGGTGAGCTGCTCAACTACAACGTCGGTGGCCTCGTCCGGACCTCTGTCGACCTGGGCCAGCCCATCATCGGCGTCTCGGCAAACTACCGCCTCAATGCCTTTGGCTTCTCTGCTTCGCGGGAGATGAGGGAGGGTTGGGGCTTCTCAACTTCGGCCTCGAGGACTAGCGGGTAGCGATGCAGTGGGTGCAGGAGCACATTGCTGACTTTGGCGGCGACCCTGACCAGGTCGTCATCATGGGCGAGTCGGCTGGTAGCTGGCCCGTCGTTGCGCATTTACTCTAAGACGAGGGCGAGGGCGCTACTGACTTGTTCCGCGGTGCCATGGCCTTGTCTAGTGGCCCGGTCATGGTTGAGAGTGCTGAGAGGGCTCAGCCTTTCTTTGATCACATGGTCGAGAGGACGGGATGTGCAGATGCATCGGACAAGATTGCTTGTCTGAAGGTTACCGACTTTGACGATATCATGGCCTCCGTCAACGAAGAGGGAATGCGTAAGTTCAATGTCGGTATGAGTCGTATCTTGATATTGTGCTAACAACATACTTCTAACTGGTCCTCGGGCCTCATTCCCTTGCCTCGACATGGACTCTCCGTCCCGACGGGAAGCACCTCAAGGACTCTCCCCACCGTCTGGCCGCAGCCGGCAAGATGGCCTCGGTGCCACTGATCACTGGC